CGCTGAGTTGAGCTTCACTGGCGTGGTGACGAGTCGGTGCGTCCAGTCCTCCCTTGTCCACGCCTGCAACGTAGGCTACAAGACGGAGCTCATCACAAGCGCGTGCGCTGACACAAGCGAAAGTGATCACGCGAAGGGGTTGGAGGCGGTGCGGACCGGTTGTCCGTCAGCCAAGATTTCGGAGTGATATTGGTTGTGCTCGAGGTGGTAGGCGAATGCAGACACACTCTAATGGACCAAAAGCACTTTTGATAGGGGCAAAAACGAACCATCTGGATGGAATAAGCAACGCCCCTGGGGAAGAGGGTCGAGACTTTCTACAGGCCCCGCACTCAGCAGCAACAGTACATCGGATCTCGGGGTGCATGTCCACCGCCAGGGACCCGACCGTCCTGGACCTGAGGGAGGCGGTGGATGCGGACGCCTCCCTTGCGGGGCCCCCCGGGGCCCCGCATGCATCACATCCACCGCGGCCTGGGGTCCTGGGAGACCGGCTTCCCAGGCGGTGGATGTGGTGCATCTTCAACAACAATGCAGCATCGTGAAGCGTCTCGACCAGAGCCCCGTACCCCATCTCTCTGCGCCATGTTTCGAGCCCGGTCGATCTCTGCGAGGGCACCGGGGGGCCCGAAACCGGGCGCGGAGGAACTCACGACTCGAAAAAATGAGACGCCAGGATCGCAGGGAATCGGGCTCGGCCGACAGGGGGGCGATGACTCGGGGGGGAGATCATGGGCCGGGGCCACGATGTCTCCCCATCTTTCATGGCGCCCCTCCTTCTTCAATCGCGTCGCTCATTCCGCCTGCCAAGACTATTCTGTCGCTGGCATTTGCCCGCGTGTTCGTTGCCATTGAGGCGCTGATGGGTGGTGGTAGTGTGCCGGAAGTGTTGCGTGATCAGTCTCAGGCAGAGGGCTCGAAATGGCTACTCGTGTCCCCGCTCTTGCGCCCCTCTTGGACTCCCCTTGAGGCCCTCTTGAGCCGTCTTGGGAGCTTCCTATGGGCTCATTGCAGCATGGTTGGCTCTTGCTTGCGTGCTCGCAGAGGCATTTTTGAAGCCTCGTCGGGCCTCTTGGAGGTATTTTGGGGGCATCTCGGGGCCTCTTCGGAGGGGTCTCGGGGGCCTTTTGGAGATTCTTGGGGCCCTCTTGGGAGCTTTCTGGCGGCGTGTGGGGGCAATTCTTTAGGAAAAGGTTTGAAGTTTCAGTTCGGGTTCTCCCTCTTGAGACCCTCCTGGTGGGATTGGAGGCTTCTTAAGACGCCTCTGGGGCCATCTTGGGGGCCTCTTGGGCCGTCATGGGCGCGTCTTGGCTAGAATTGTGTCAATCTGGGAGGCTGCATGGGCCGTTTTAGACGGTCGGAGGGCGGACAAGCGGTAACGCAAACGTATGATATGAATTCTGGCCTTTTGGAGGCCCCTTGGATTTGTATTAGGTAATTTGAGAGGGCACTTTCTGCCGCTACTTGCGGGGGGGGGGAGTTCAAAGCCCCTTGCCCCCCCAAAAGAAAACAGGGAGGGGGGGAAGGAACTTCTCCACCCCCTCTGAAAATGATTCAGGAGGTTTAGAGCGACGACGTTGCCGCCGCCAGCAAACGACGCAGACGCGAACGACGACGACGACGACGACGACGCACGGCGCACGACGCACGACGCACGACGGACCAAGCACGACGCATCACGCGCGACGCACGACCACGACCACGCCGACGCCGACGCCGACCACGACGCCGACGCCGACAAAGACGACGACGAATACGTCGACGAGCAGTGTAGAGTAGGGTTAGGGTAGAGAAGAGTCGAGCATGGTGAGACAAGGTAAGGTAGAATAGAACAGTTTAGAAAAGAGAAGAGTAGGGAGATGTAGATTAGATTGGGCCAGGGTCGAGTCGATGAGAGAAGAGTAGGGTCGATGAGTAGGGTCGAGCAGGAATCAACTAGAGTAGAGCAGAGCTGAGAAGAGTCGGAGCATATCAGGAGCAAAGTAGAGCTGAGTGGAGTAGAGTATAATATGCTAGAGTACGGTGGGTTAGAATAGGGTAGGGTAGGGTGGAGTGTGTTAGAGCACGGTAGAGTAGAATAGGGTAGGTTAGGGTAGAGTAAGGTAGAGTAGAGTAAGGTAGAGTAGAGGGGAGCGGAGTAGAGTTGAGTAGGGCAATGTCAAGTAAGGTAGAGCACAGTCGGGCTGGCAGGAGCCTGAGAGAGCTGGATCGAGTCCCGGTAGCATTAGGTCAGAACCAGTGTTTGGCGCGGGCGTTGGCGACAGCTGCGCCGCCGCCGCCGCTGACGTTGTCGCCGTCGTCGGCGTAGGCGTCGGGGGGAGTATCTGGATCCCCCGATACATTTTGCGGTGGGGGGGCTCGTTCTCCCCACAGGAGGGGGGGGGGGGCGGGCCCCCCCTCCCCTGTTTTTTGCGGGGGGGGAGGGGGCTTCGTGGGGGAAGGTGGGGGGTGGGGGCCTGGTTTCTGACCCCCCCCCAAGGATCTCTCTAAAGGGGGGAGAGGGGGGTGGCCCCGTGGTCTCCGACCCCACCTTGTTAAAATGTCGCAGGCCATCGGCGGTGGATCGCGCTGCGCTCACCCGACCGCTCGTCGGAGGATACTTTGAACCCTGGCGGGGGCGTACGGAGGCTATCGAGGAACCTGCCACCCGTGGCCCCGACTCGAATGACCTCTTCGGGCTCCCTCGGGTTCTTTCGGGGCGCTCCCGGGGCGCTTTGAGGGGCCTTGAAGACAGCCCGCGGGAACTCCGGCAGCTGCACAGACCACCGCCAGAACTTGCTCGGGGTCCGCACGGGGGACCCCGAAGGGCGGCCACGCGCGCGCGCGCGAAGTCTGACCGCCAAGTCTTGTTGACGGGGATCTCTGCACCCCGCTGACCCGATGGACCGGCGAGTTTCAATACGTCCCCTGGTTCCCCACCGTCTGCGCACAGGCGTCGGCCCATACAGACGGCCTTGATTAGCAGGTCGACCCTGCCAAGTCAAGGGTATCCTTGTATCCTGTCTTCAGGGACGCGTGTCTGTTGTGTAGCCGTGGGGGTCAGAGTTCGGTGGTTTCTATAGAATGGAGGAAATCGAGGAAGTTGCAGGGTCATTTCGCTCCACCATCCAACTTCTTGGTATGCGAACTACATGCAATATTCATGTGTTTTTCGTTGCAACTTGCATGTTTGTCTTAGAAGCAGCACGATCTGATCCACGTTTGCCTGCGATTCGCATTTGTTGTGCGCGTGCGAGCCACCCGTTTCTATTTGCAACTGCGGCGCGCTTGCTACGAGACGCGAGCGTGTCGGTTGAGTTCGGGGCAGCGTCTCGTTGAGAGTCGGCGCGCGCCGCCCCCTCGCTCGATGCCTCTGCCGCCAACGGCGGTAGGGGCATCATTGTCGATGCGCCTCTCGCTGGTGCGACTCTTGTCTTCTGCGTCCGCCCTGAATGACAGTGGCATTGGTGCTTCGACTGTCTACCCCGCCCTTGCGTCTGACATCCGCTAGCTGTATCGCAATTGACGCGCCAGTTGTGTAATCTGTTCGTGAATTGTCTGCGGGCGATCCTCGCTGCTCGCGGCGTCGGCACTGGTTTGTGTGGTTCGTGGTCAAGTTTTGCGATGGGGGCCGCGGGTCTCAGCAGAGGCCCGCGTTAGTTGCGCGGAAAGTTATCGTTTGTTTGCCGTGGGCGCGCGCCCCACCCAACGCTTGGTCGCTCCTGTTTGTTTGTGCCCCGTCGCTTTAGCAGGGCAGCGACGCGGGGCGCGATGCTTTGTTTTCGTCGCGCAATTGCGCCGCACTTGCATCATTGTAGCCGTGTTGTTCCCGCGGAGCCGCCGTATGCGGCGCGCAGGGTGGCGGCACCAGTTGAGTTTTGATTCGTTTGACAAATGGCAATCCCTTGTGTCCCGCGTCGGTGCCCTGACCGCTGAGCTACGCGACCTCGCAAAAAACTAGCTCCCTCGCATTATGCCTCCCTGTTCCCTCGTTCATCCCCGCCCCCCGTCTTCATGTACCCAGTACCCCAGTTCGTCTCATTATTTAGCCCCCCCCGTTTCAACCAACGTTTCCTATGTGTAACACTTCCCCAAACAGATCTTACAACATGTCCCAGGCAGTCCTTGCAACGTGTCTCAAACAGTGCTTGCAGCTTTTCCAAAAACAGTGCCTGCAGCGTCCTCGGCAACAGTGCTTGCCAGTGTTCCCCTCTCAGTGCTTGCAGCGGCTCTTCAAACAGTGCTTGAATCGTCCAGGCTGTGCTTGCAACGTCTCACTAGTGCCTTTCAGTGCTTGCAGTGTCCTGCGGGGCGTGGAACGTCTTACAGCGTGCGCAGTGTCTCTGCAACCCAGCGGTGGAAACAATGCCCCCGTGGCGCTCTCAGAAGGACTCACCGTTAACATCGTTATAACCACCATCGTCACCATCGTCATCATCACCGTCTTCCGTCTCCTCCTTCTCCTCCCCCATTCCCCCCCCGTTCCTTCTTTTCCGTTGCATCATCCGTATCCTCATCCTCTTCCTGCTCCTCCTGCTCCTCCCCCCCTCCTCCTCCTCTTCCTCCTCCTCCCCCTCAGTCTCAAACTCTTTATTGGAATCCTCACCCTCCTCCTCATCCTCCTCCTCCGTCACATGCCCCCCCGCCAGCAGTCATCAATCAGGCACATGTTGATGCCTACCAAAGTGGGCATAGTCTATATTGGCGCAGTGTCCGAGCCAGTGCTTGCAATTCTACTACAAAACGTCGTTGGTACTATGTTCGGCGCAGTGCTTGCAGCGTTTCCCCATGCAGTGCTTGCAACCTCTCCTCAAACAGTGTTTGCTACGTCTCGGCATGGGGTTCGGTATGGGCAGTGGACAACGACCATGCTCAGATGATACGTTCAATGTTGATGTGGTGATGTGACGATGTGATGGTATTGCCGTTTTGGCTCAAACCGAGGAGATCCTGCTTCCAGCTTGCAGTGCTTGAGGCCCCCTGCCCTGTGTTGAGGCTTCACTTTCTGTGTCGCACCCAGCATGGACCAACACATCGAGGATGTGCCGATGCCGTTGGCGATCGGGGGTTTGGTTGCAGGCGGCCCTCCAGATGCAAACGGCGATGATCACATTGCCGTGCCGCCGCCTCTGGCGCTTCCAGCGCCAGCGCCCCCTGCCCGCCTCGATCTCAAGAGAAGGACGCCCGAGCTCATGAGCCACGCTCGTTCCAAGAAGATGTTGTTGTGCGCCCAGAGCCGCGAGTCGAAGCTCCGCCAAGACTTTGAACAGCTCAAAGGGGACATGCACACGGCTTGTACGTTGATCCCTGCATGCGCCCAATTGTTCGGGCGGCCCGTGAAACACGTCGGCAAGATCAAAAAGGACGACCTCCGACCAGCACGTTTCACTTTCTTGAGCAGGATTGTCTTTGCCAGACGCCTGGGCACGCTGAACATTTGCATCGACATTCGGCGGTTGGTGTGCGCCGCAGCCCGCGTGATCAAGGCCAGACAGGATGATGGCGTGGAGCACGTCCTCCGCGGCGGTGAGAAGGCTTTGCAGCATCCAGGTGCCAGCAATCGGTTCGTCCACATGTCATATGCTCATTTGTGGGACGAGGTCAACTGCAAGTTCGCAGCATATCCGAAGATGGGGTGCCGCCGCAGGAAGACAACCACGAGCATTCAGACTATCTGCCAGCGAGGTTGCGCCAGGCTGACCCTGGCCAACCACATCAACGACGAGAGCGCGATCAGCCGATCGTTCTGCGAGCAGATCCTTGTCAACCCGATGAAGGTGAGCGGCACTTCAGCCAATGCGATCCTACCCGCTGTGTTGAAGGCAATCCCGCGGCCATTCCAGTTCAACGCCGTGGAGAATATTGATCGGTTGTTGCGTTCGTTCTCGTCCTTCACGATGTCTCTGACTGGTGACAAGGCGTCTGGGAACATCCTCTTGATGAAACAATTCTGTCACCAATGGGAAACGATGGTGCTTCCGCGCAGCAGTGGTCGGCTTCTTGCGTTCCCAGAGACGTGTGGCGTGCACTTAGAACATCGCACAAAATTGCAAGTTGTACCGCTCAAGCACCACACAATGCGCCTCTTCAGCTTAGCCAACTTGCTTCGCCTTGACGGTGTGCGGACCAGCATATGCGAGTCGATCGAAGTGTTGGTGCAGAAGATGCTCAAGCGACGGGTCCTCGGCCCGCCGCCAGACGGCATTGCCTGCCCGCTGTCCAAGTGCTTCAATGTTCTCTTCCGCCCAGATGCGGACCACCACAAGCGCGCCAACGGCAAGGTGTCTCGCAGGGTGCAGGACCTGGGTGAATGGATGAGAATGGTCAACGGGGATCTCCACGGAGATTGGGTGCATTATTGCTGGGACGAGTCAACTGGCAGGCCGTGTTGCAGGGACGCCGACACTTGCTACGACAGAACAGTTCGTTCGGTCACGAATGCGCTGTATGGCGGCGGGGACCCTATTCCAGCAGAAAGCAGATGGACGCACACCTTGGTCAATATGAAACAGTTGCTGCTGAGGCGAATCGTGTGCAATATCGGCGTGAAGGCGTTCCCGTGTTCGATCAGAAAACCTGGCGCCGCCAGCGAGATGCCGCAATCCGCCGACGGCGAGGCATGTCAATCGCACGTCGCTGAGGTGAATGCGTCGCGGCTGTCACGGGTGGGCGTGTATTTTGATGACCCCAAGACTGGCCTTGCTCACGGTTTCCGTGAGACACATCATCGACAGGCGTTTGTTGTACCCACTTTTGGGCGACCCATGGCCCGCGGATGACGACGCCCGCAGCAAATTCGAGTGTCTCCTGGACCCAGATGATATGATTGCCTGCGGCTGCTCCCGCCACCGTGCCAGCCCAGCCGCGTCGGTGGTTTTTGCGCTAGGGGGCGCGTGCGTTTTACAAGTGACGCGTTTGGTTTTTCAAACTACGATAATACCTCTGCAGCCATGACGGCCACCACTGGTGATTGTTATGACGGCAGGGGTATTGCATGTGACGAAGACGGCGGGGATGATGATGATGATGATGATGATGATGGATGATGATGATGGCTTCTGCTGCTGCGAAAACGGTAACCGCGGCGATGACGATGGTGATTCTCCCGCGAGGGAGGCGCCGAAACAGTAGCACGTGACACTTAGTCACTTCGGCTGCTTCAGGAAAACGACGACGGTGACGACGATGGGGGGGAGAAAGGGGAGGAGGAGGAGGAGGAGGAGGAGGAGGAGGATGGGGAGGAGGAGGGGGAGGAAGAGGAGGAGGAGGGAGAGGAAGAAGCAACGAAGTAGACATTCGCCCGTTTCGCCCGAGACATTCTCTGACGCATGCGGCATTGAAATCTAAGGCCTGGCCATCGGAACGTCGCACAGGGCGCGGGGGGGGCGGGGAGGGGAGGGGGGCGGCGGGGGGGGGGCAAGGAGAGAAGAGTTGTCATATGCGGCCCGTCCGTCTTTACTTTTCCAGGGGCCGAAGTTATTATTAGGTGGTGTCTCAGGCGAAACACGTATGCAGCACTGGCGGTGTCAACGCACATTGGCGTTACAATAATGCCACGTTCTTCTGCAATATTGGAGTTCATCTCGGGTCGGTTTGAAATAGACGCCTGAACACTGGCCTTTGGAACTGTTATTTGTTTCCACGGGCCTAGGCGACGCGGTCCCCGTGTTCGTCCGCCTCGAACGGCCGATTCGTCACACATGACGGCGCTGGCGCCTGCCCCGCCCTCGGCGCCTCTCCCGCTCAGACGCGGCGGAGGTGCCGCGCGTGACGCTTCCGAGACGTGATGTCGAAATGTGCCATTGGTGTCACATGTGACAAGGCGTGTCCCCTCCCCCTACGCAACTTCCCGATGTGGCGAGGATGTCTCAGGCGATGCGCCCATTTCCAGGGGGGGCACGCGGGCGCGCGGAAGCGCGTGCAGAGGGGGGTAGAAGACTACCATCAACCGCACCAGACAGCACGACATCGCGGCCCAAGTGCCAGCGGTGGCGGATAGTTTGCTCGGCCACTGTTTGTCAGAGTTATTGCATGTACTTGAATCGTGGCTTCATGGCGGCGAGAGGGATCCGCTGGTTATCCTCGATGCAGTCCAGGCGCCGATGAGGGACCCTGGCTATGCGCGCTTCGCGCGTTCATGCATCCTTCGCCTGAGTTCTGCGATCAGCCGAAGGTGGGATCTTCGGTACTCGAGCTGGCCGCACCCGCTCTTCACGCTTTGCAGCGCCCGCTCATCGGAAGAGCAGCGCAGGGATGTTGCGCGGCGACTGCTCGATGCATCGCGCGAGGAGCTCGGCGTGTACGCGTACGGCGTGAAGCACCGCTTCAACACCGTGCCTCTGCTGATGAGTGAGGCGTGCAGGAAAACATTGCTGGCTGATTTTCGCACGTTCGGATTCTCCACCGACGTCATCGAGAGGCTCAACGCGGAGATTCAGGCTGGTCGAGTGCATCGTGCGCCAGGTCGCGTCTTCGGCGGGGCGTCCAGGGAGCAGCTGCTGCAGCAGGCACTCGCCGTGCACAAGAAATGCGGTGGCGTCGACCCGTTGAGCATGAAGCGAGATGCAGCCCTGAAGTCGTCGGACCTTCGAGTGCAGGTGCAGCCACTCATTGCCGCTGCTCGGCCTGAGTTTCTTCCAATTGCAGGTGGGCCCGATGGCGCTGCTGCGAGCGCCGCGGCGCCTGAGCCCGTGGCCGTCGACCGCCCCGTGGAGATCGCGCTGGCGAACGCCTCCATCCTGCCGGGCGCGAGGGCGGTGGGGGCTGGCGGGGCCGATGGCGGCGGCGGGCCACCTGGCGACGGCGACGGCGGCGGACCTCTGCCACCCCGTCGGCGCGGATTGAGCCCGTACATGCTGGAATTGAACAAGACGTTGGCGAGTCTGAAGAGGGCGAAGGGCTCCGCCTTGACGCCCGAGGAGCTGAGCACGGCTCGCAGCAGGTTCAGGGAACAGTGGCAGCTCATGAATCATGACGCTCACCACGAGGCCTTCGAGGATTGGCAGAACACGCCTGCAGAGATGGTGCCCGCTGATGCCCAGGCGCCCGCGCATGCCACTTCCTGGGGTCGAGGTTGCCGCTCGTCCCCGATCTCCTGCGAGGAGTTCTACGAGTGGCATCAATTGCACGGTTGGCCGACCAAGGACATGCGGGTGTACAATTTTGCAAACTTCACGGTGGCATGGGAGGAGGAGGGAGAGGAGGAGTAGGAGGAGCACGTGGAGGAGTAGGAGGGGGGGGGGAGGGGGATCGAGGCTGGATGGGAGGGAGGAGGAGGAGGAGAAAGAGGAGAAGGAGGAAGAGTAAGAGAAGGATCAGCAGATCGCATTCGGATGCTTCCGCCTAGCAGGAAGACTTCGAGTGCGATGCTGCCGACGACCTGGTCGTCCGCGCTGAGCCCATCCCTGACCTTCCAGACTTCAGCCTGTGGGGCTGCGGCAGGAACGCTCGGCCTGTTCCTCGGGCAACGGTGCCAAACGTTCAGCAGTTCCATTTGATAGAACATGGCATTCACAACCTCATGGCACGTTTAACGAGACCCGCCGCCGATGTCGGCGACGTGATGATCATGGTGGAGGGCCACTCACTGGAGAACCCAGCCAGCCGAATGCGCTTCGTGGGTATCATTTCGGGCACGTTTTACAATCCGAAGGTGATGCGTCCGCTAATATGTAACCGCCCCCCCTAAGCCCATCCAGAAACGACCGCTGCCCATCCAGAAATCTGATGTGCCCGACGTCCGCTAGTGCATCCCCGTCAGCCCATCCACTAACGACCAATCCCATCCAGAGACGATATTGCCAATGCCCCAGCCCATCAGAAACGACATGAGACATGCACCCCTGTCAGCCCATCCATGAACGACCGACATCCGAACGAGTTGCCTTGGCCACGGAATTCCACGGGGGGAGTCAAATTGTAATAAAAGGGGTTCTGAGCACGCTCTGAAGGCTCTCGAGGCGGCAGTCTGCGCGCCGTTTTTTTTTTTGGGGGGGGGGCTATCGGGGGGGCGCCGCCTGTGACGCCGTCTTGCGACCAACTTGGGTTCTTGGGGCAGCATAGCATCACAATATCACGGTCTTGGGATCCTCCTCATCTCCCTCCTCCTCCTCCTCCTCCTCCTCCTCCTCGCCCATCCTCGCCCATCCTCCTCATCCTCCTCCTCCGTCTCCTCCCCCTCCTCCTCTTCCTCCCCCCCCTCCTCCTCCTCTTCCCCCCCGCCCAAGAGCACCCTCAGGCTCTCAGGAGAGCCGCGGTAGACACCAGTCTCCATGATGAATCATGCCGCTCCCTCTTGGTGACCACCCATGGCACACGGTTCGGGGGGCGGGGGGGCGAGATTGAAGCCAAGACGCCGCCTAAGAAACCCTTTCCCTCCCTCCCCATCCTCCTTCTCCGCCTCATCCTCCTTAAGGGCGCCGTGCGCTGTGCTCCTAGGTTGCCCATCGACCCAAGGTGTTTGATATCGCACCGAACACGTTCCAAGTGAGAGCGAATGCCCACAGCGACGTGCTACACACGCCGTGTCTTGTGGAGATCGATGTTCAGAACTGTAGGAGCGCTGGTCGATTTCGTTGTATTGGCTATGAATCTTCAGATCACTTTGTACTGAAGTTGGTTCGGAACCTGATCGACATGGATTTGTACTTAGTGGATTACGACGTGGATGTCGATGTTGATAACAGTCTGAAGTGGAGCAGGATCTCAGCTGTGCACATGCAGGGTGAGCTGTGGAGGGCGGGGATGACGCGCCCGTTCGGGTACCAGAGCCCCAGCAGCCGTGGGCCTTCTGCGTCCGACCTGGGGAGGCTGAACACCAGCGACCCCTTCGAGACGCCTCCTGGGCGCGGTGTTGGGCGCGGCGCTGGGCGCGGCGCTGGGCGCGGCGCTGGGCGCGGCGGCCGCCGCGGAGGGGGCGCAGGCAGAGGCCGCGGCCACGGAGCCGTAGATGGCGAGGGTCTCGGCGGCGGCCCCGACGCCCACGGCGACGTCGACGACGTTGACATGCCGCCGTTGGTCGACGACTTGCTACCAGCTGGCGCGGCGATTGGCGAGGAGATGGACATGCTGGAACACGAGGCCGAGGATGCCGACCTCGACGGCATGGAGGAGCTGGGCGACACGTTCGGCTTGGAGGACGGCGTCATCGAGGGGCACCCCCCAGGACTGGTCGGCGAGGGCGGCGGGGACTTGGACGAGCATGGCGATGCTCGCGGTGCTGAGCTTCTTGGGGTACCAGCTGAAGTACCCGATGAGATCGCAGCTGGAGCGGCAGACGGCGCTGCTGACGTCGGCCTGGAGCCTGAGCCTGGCGAGGCCGAGGAGCCGCCCGCGCCTGCGGCGCCGCTCCCGCCGCCGCCGCCAGGGCCGCATGATCTCGTTGGCCCGACGCCGAGTGGATACTTCCACATGGATGGTCGCCAGGTGTTGCGCATTTTGCGCGGTCATCCTGCCGACAGCGTGACAGTGAATTGCTATCATACTGGCCTTCGGCGCATCCCGCCACCGCGCCTGAGTTGTCGGTCGGGGGCATATGTCGGCAGTATGCCCCGCCCTCCGATGCGCCTCGCCAGCGGAACAAGTACCACTTGAAGCATCTCTGCACTATGCCTCAAGTGGTACCGAATACGTGTCACTTGGGACATGGCCGTTGCATGCCTCAAGTTGTACCGACCAAGTACCACTCGGAGCATGTCGCCAATCTGCCTCAAGTGGTACCGAGCAACATACCACTTGAAGCATGTTGGCAATATGCCTCAAGTGGTACCGAGTAGGTAGCACTTGAGGCATGCCCGTTGTATGCCTCAAGTGGGACCGATGAAGTACCACTTGGGGCATGCCGTCAGTATGCTTCCAGTGGTACCGATCACGTACCACGTGATGCATAGTGACGCGCCTGCACGCGGGTGGACCAGAGATATTTTACAAGTTGGGCGCTGGTCCCCTGGATGATTCCTCGGGGTTGAAGCCTGAAATTCAAGGGGTGCGGCAGAAAGCCCGACGGCACGCCCACTCCGTGCCTCGAGGCACGGTGGCGGGTATGCATGCTGGCTGCAGGCTGTGCATCGGCGAGAGTCGGTGCCCATCGGACGAGGTCTTGAAGACCTGGCTGTTCGAGGTGCCAGCAGCAGCCCCTGGCGCGTCCGCCGAGGAGCGGCGAGAGCTCATGCAGCGGCACGCGCAGCTGGCCAAGGACAGGTGGTACGTGAACAAGAAGGCCAAAGCCAAAGCTGCACCTGCGCCTCCTGGTGAAAACATCAAAGAACCCCCATCAGGTCTTCCAGAAACGGTGGCCCATCCAGAAACGATTCTCCGATGTCGCCAGCCGTCCAGCCTCGGAACTGCAGATATTGAACTGTCAGCCCAGCCGCTGGGACCCGAAGAACAGCGGTCGAGCCAGCTCATCCAGAGGCGATGCCAGCCCAGCCCATTCAGAGGCAATGCCAGTTGCCAACCTATCCAGAAACGATGCCAGCCAAACCCATCCAGAAGCGATGTCAGCCTGCCCTGGCCCACCCCGAAGCGACATCACCAGCCCATCCAGAAACGGCGTTCATCTATCCAGGAACGATGCTCCATGGAGGGGTTAGTTTCCAGAAGCCAAGTGGGCGCGCGCAGTGACAATGAGGGATTCGCAGTGCCACTCATGCTTCGGTGTGCGTCTCTGTTCGCACAAATTGGGCTTGCATGTTCTGAATGCGTATGTCCGCATGTATGCATGTTTGTGCATGTGGATACATGTAGCTATATGTATGTATGTGTATGTGTGTATGTCTGTAGGTGATGCTGTTTGCATGTATGTGTGTGTATATGCATGTGCATGTAGATGTGTATGTGCGTGTAGGTGTGTTCATCTACGTCCCGACCCATCCTCATCTAGCCGCGCATCGGTAGGACATTCAGGCCAGGATTTGCACAAAGACATTCAGCGCCCTGATCAAGACCAAAGCGTAGGTTGTTCGTCGTTTTCGGCCTCTGGGGACCTCGGCCGTTTGGGCACCCTGGGTCATCAACAACTTATGTGGCATGGTCCGTAGCAATTTGGGTTCAAACAGCAAAGGTTTGCTCAAAAACTCTTCACTTCACAAAGAAACGCGTCCGAACGTAGGACCAAGACAATGAGCCCCACTGTGATTGCACTCGCTTGCGCCCTCTTCGGGTCGCCCGTATTCTCGTACAGGCCGTCGTCGTTTTTCGATGATGAGGGGAAGGTGCTCAAGGTGCACAGCCACAACTCGAGTAGCCCGACTCCAGGCCATCCAGAGGGTGTGACATTGTACTTGAAGAGTATTCAGCCGGGTGACGCCCTCCTTAAGAGTCTCAGTGACTTCATCTCCACGCCCACCTTCAAGGCTCAGCGGATCGAGACGGGTGGCTTCGGTGAAATAACTGTCCAGATCCCGGGCATGACTTGCTATACGGACAGCTTTGGCTTCGTCTCCATTGCAGGGAACCACTTTTTCCTTTACGTCAGGCGTGATGGCTCGGAGGACAGTCTGTCGGGGAAGCTGTGGGCCATCAAGGGCGTCATGAAGGTCGTGTCAAAAGAGGAGGGGGCGGTGGTCCTCCACTTCCCGTCGAAGGTCGAGGTTGCGTGTCCCGAGAGCAGTCTGATGTACCCCGGTCCTCAGGCTTATTCTGCCATGAGCCCCATGGCCGACAGCTTTGCCTGGCGCCACGCTGGGCAGCTCGGTGCGGGTGACCACGGCGCCTTCGTCTACAAGACAAAGGCGGAGTGCTTCCGCTTGGACATGGACGGCACGGGCACCATGCCGTGCGCCGAGCGGGCGCCGTTTCGGGATATGTACAACGGCCCCCCGAAGCAGAAGAAGCGTGTCTTGGTCGTCATCGACGTGCAGGGCGGGTACGATGCCGCAATCGTAGCGAACGCGTCAGGCAAAGGTGGGCTCACTTACATCAATCAGGAACACGACGTGGACCAAAGCTACGCGTTGGGCGCATGGAACGCCAACCACACCATGAAGCCTGTCACGAAGTTCGAGCCTGGCAAAAAACAGATTTCGTACAACAAGGGTTGGAACACTGGATTGCCAACGGCTGTCATCGGACCAGTGGTGAACCGCATCAACGAATTGGTTGAGACAGTGGATTGGGACCTCGTCTTGTACACGCATGACTATCTCGATCCCGAGGCAAAAGGCGTGTTCCCCCTCGATAACAAACCGTGGTCGGACCCGAACAAGGAGGTTGCGCTCGTGCCGTACGGCGAATTCCTCACGCTTGCGGCCAAGGGAGCAGGGACAGACACGCACGACCGGTTCATGCACAACCCCCATTGCGCCAGACACGGCCCAGGTATTTTCAAAGTCGGGACGAAGAAGGTCTCAGAGGAGGAACAGGTACCCATACCTCTACCCTTCCCTCGTTTTCCCTTTTTTGGGCCTCCTGGGAGGCCCTCGTCGCCACCGCTGGATTCGCTTCGAAATCCTGGTCAGAACGCACACCAGGAGAGGTCCGGGGGGTAGCGGTATCGGTACCTTTTGGTTTCCCCAAGGTCATGTGTTTCCGGAAGCAGGTGGACGATGCCTTCTCCGATGATTTGGCAGAGCGTGGGCCGAAAAACGTGGACCCGGATGACGATGGGAGGCAGAACCCAATGGGGCATCTGTTGCTCTCGCAGCTCACCGAGGCGGGTTACGGGCCCGAGCACGCTGAGTTGAGCTTCACTGGCGTGGTGACGAGTCGGTGCGTCCAGTCCTCCCTTGTCCACGCCTGCAACGTAGGCTACAAGACGGAGCTCATCACAAGCGCGTGCGCTGACACAAGCGAAAGTGATCACGCGAAGGGGTTGGAGGCGGTGCGGACCGGTTGTCCGTCAGCCAAGATTTCGGAGTGATATTGGTTGTGCTCGAGGTGGTAGGCGAATGCAGACACACTCTAATGGACCAAAAGCACTTTTGATAGGGGCAAAAACGAACCATCTGGATGGAATAAGCAACGCCCCTGGGGAAGAGGGTCGAGACTTTCTACAGGCCCCGCACTCAGCAGCAACAGTACATCGGATCTCGGGGTGCATGTCCACCGCCAGGGACCCGACCGTCCTGGACCTGAGGGAGGCGGTGGATGCGGACGCCTCCCTTGCGGGGCCCCCCGGGGCCCCGCATGCATCACATCCACCGCGGCCTGGGGTCCTGGGAGACCGGCTTCCCAGGCGGTGGATGTGGTGCATCTTCAACAACAATGCAGCATCGTGAAGCGTCTCGACCAGAGCCCCGTACCCCATCTCTCTGCGCCATGTTTCGAGCCCGGTCGATCTCTGCGAGGGCACCGGGGGGCCCGAAACCGGGCGCGGAGGAACTCACGACTCGAAAAAATGAGACGCCAGGATCGCAGGGAATCGGGCTCGGCCGACAGGGGGGCGATGACTCGGGGGGGAGATCATGGGCCGGGGCCACGATGTCTCCCCATCTTTCATGGCGCCCCTCCTTCTTCAATCGCGTCGCTCATTCCGCCTGCCAAGACTATTCTGTCGCTGGCATTTGCCCGCGTGTTCGTTGCCATTGAGGCGCTGATGGGTGGTGGTAGTGTGCCGGAAGTGTTGCGTGATCAGTCTCAGGCAGAGGGCTCGAAATGGCTACTCGTGTCCCCGCTCTTGCGCCCCTCTTGGACTCCCCTTGAGGCCCTCTTGAGCCGTCTTGGGAGCTTCCTATGGGCTCATTGCAGCATGGTTGGCTCTTGCTTGCGTGCTCGCAGAGGCATTTTTGAAGCCTCGTCGGGCCTCTTGGAGGTATTTTGGGGGCATCTCGGGGCCTCTTCGGAGGGGTCTCGGGGGCCTTTTGGAGATTCTTGGGGCCCTCTTGGGAGCTTTCTGGCGGCGTGTGGGGGCAATTCTTTAGGAAAAGGTTTGAAGTTTCAGTTCGGGTTCTCCCTCTTGAGACCCTCCTGGTGGGATTGGAGGCTTCTTAAGACGCCTCTGGGGCCATCTTGGGGGCCTCTTGGGCCGTCATGGGCGCGTCTTGGCTAGAATTGTGTCAATCTGGGAGGCTGCATGGGCCGTTTTAGACGGTCGGAGGGCGGACAAGCGGTAACGCAAACGTATGATATGAATTCTGGCCTTTTGGAGGCCCCTTGGATTTGTATTAGGTAATTTGAGAGGGCACTTTCTGCCGCTACTTGCGGGGGGGGGGAGTTCAAAGCCCCTTGCCCCCCCAAAAGAAAACAGGGAGGGGGGGAAGGAACTTCTCCACCCCCTCTGAAAATGATTCAGGAGGTTTAGAGCGACGACGTTGCCGCCGCCAGCAAACGACGCAGACGCGAACGACGACGACGACGACGACGACGCACGGCGCACGACGCACGACGCACGACGGACCAAGCACGACGCATCACGCGCGACGCACGACCACGACCACGCCGACGCCGACGCCGACCACGACGCCGACGCCGACAAAGACGACGACGAATACGTCGACGAGCAGTGTAGAGTAGGGTTAGGGTAGAGAAGAGTCGAGCATGGTGAGACAAGGTAAGGTAGAATAGAACAGTTTAGAAAAGAGAAGAGTAGGGAGATGTAGATTAGATTGGGCCAGGGTCGAGTCGATGAGAGAAGAGTAGGGTCGATGAGTAGGGTCGAGCAGGAATCAACTAGAGTAGAGCAGAGCTGAGAAGAGTCGGAGCATATCAGGAGCAAAGTAGAGCTGAGTGGAGTAGAGTATAATATGCTAGAGTACGGTGGGTTAGAATAGGGTAGGGTAGGGTGGAGTGTGTTAGAGCACGGTAGAGTAGAATAGGGTAGGTTAGGGTAGAGTAAGGTAGAGTAGAGTAAGGTAGAGTAGAGGGGAGCGGAGTAGAGTTGAGTAGGGCAATGTCAAGTAAGGTAGAGCACAGTCGGGCTGGCAGGAGCCTGAGAGAGCTGGATCGAGTCCCGGTAGCATTAGGTCAGAACCAGTGTTTGGCGCGGGCGTTGGCGACAGCTGCGCCGCCGCCGCCGCTGACGTTGTCGCCGTCGTCGGCGTAGGCGTCGGGGGGAGTATCTGGATCCCCCGATACATTTTGCGGTGGGGGGGCTCGTTCTCCCCACAGGAGGGGGGGGGGGGCGGGCCCCCCCTCCCCTGTTTTTTGCGGGGGGGGAGGGGGCTTCGTGGGGGAAGGTGGGGGGTGGGGGCCTGGTTTCTGACCCCCCCCCCAAGGATCTCTCTAAAGGGGGGGAGAGGGGGGTGGCCCCGTGGTCTCCGACCCCACCTTGTTAAAATGTCGCAGGCCATCGGCGGTGGATCGCGCTGCGCTCACCCGACCGCTCGTCGGAGGATACTTTGAACCCTGGCGGGGGCGTACGGAGGCTATCGAGGAACCTGCCACCCGTGGCCCCGACTCGAATGACCTCTTCGGGCTCCCTCGGGTTCTTTCGGGGCGCTCCCGGGGCGCTTTGAGGGGCCTTGAAGACAGCCCGCGGGAACTCCGGCAGCTGCACAGACCACCGCCAGAACTTGCTCGGGGTCCGCACGGGGGACCCCGAAGGGCGGCCACGCGCGCGCGCGCGAAGTCTGACCGCCAAGTCTTGTTGACGGGGATCTCTGCACCCCGCTGACCCGATGGACCGGCGAGTTTCAATACGTCCCCTGGTTCCCCACCGTCTGCGCACAGGCGTCGGCCCATACAGACGGCCTTGATTAGCAGGTCGACCCTGCCAAGTCAAGGGTATCCTTGTATCCTGTCTTCAGGGACGCGTGTCTGTTGTGTAGCCGTGGGGGTCAGAGTTCGGTGGTTTCTATAGAATGGAGGAAATCGAGGAAGTTGCAGGGTCATTTCGCTCCACCATCCAACTTCTTGGTATGCGAACTACATGCAATATTCATGTGTTTTTCGTTGCAACTTGCATGTTTGTCTTAGAAGCAGCACGATCTGATCCACGTTTGCCTGCGATTCGCATTTGTTGTGCGCGTGCGAGCCACCCGTTTCTATTTGCAACTGCGGCGCGCTTGCTACGAGACGCGAGCGTGTCGGTTGAGTTCGGGGCAGCGTCTCGTTGAGAGTCGGCGCGCGCCGCCCCCTCGCTCGATGCCTCTGCCGCCAACGGCGGTAGGGGCATCATTGTCGATGCGCCTCTCGCTGGTGCGACTCTTGTCTTCTGCGTCCGCCCTGAATGACAGTGGCATTGGTGCTTCGACTGTCTACCCCGCCCTTGCGTCTGACATCCGCTAGCTGTATCGCAATTGACGCGCCAGTTGTGTAATCTGTTCGTGAATTGTCTGCGGGCGATCCTCGCTGCTCGCGGCGTCGGCACTGGTTTGTGTGGTTCGTGGTCAAGTTTTGCGATGGGGGCCGCGGGTCTCAGCAGAGGCCCGCGTTAGTTGCGCGGAAAGTTATCGTTTGTTTGCCGTGGGCGCGCGCCCCACCCAACGCTTGGTCGCTCCTGTTTGTTTGTGCCCCGTCGCTTTAGCAGGGCAGCGACGCGGGGCGCGATGCTTTGTTTTCGTCGCGCAATTGCGCCGCACTTGCATCATTGTAGCCGTGTTGTTCCCGCGGAGCCGCCGTATGCGGCGCGCAGGGTGGCGGCACCAGTTGAGTTTTGATTCGTTTGACAAATGGCAATCCCTTGTGTCCCGCGTCGGTGCCCTGACCGCTGAGCTACGCGACCTCGCAAAAAACTAGCTCCCTCGCATTATGCCTCCCTGTTCCCTCGTTCATCCCCGCCCCCCGTCTTCATGTACCCAGTACCCCAGTTCGTCTCATTATTTAGCCCCCCCCGTTTCAACCAACGTTTCCTATGTGTAACACTTCCCCAAACAGATCTTACAACATGTCCCAGGCAGTCCTTGCAACGTGTCTCAAACAGTGCTTGCAGCTTTTCCAAAAACAGTGCCTGCAGCGTCCTCGGCAACAGTGCTTGCCAGTGTTCCCCTCTCAGTGCTTGCAGCGGCTCTTCAAACAGTGCTTGAATCGTCCAGGCTGTGCTTGCAACGTCTCACTAGTGCCTTTCAGTGCTTGCAGTGTCCTGCGGGGCGTGGAACGTCTTACAGCGTGCGCAGTGTCTCTGCAACCCAGCGGTGGAAACAATGCCCCCGTGGCGCTCTCAGAAGGACTCACCGTTAACATCGTTATAACCACCATCGTCACCATCGTCATCATCACCGTCTTCCGTCTCCTCCTTCTCCTCCCCCATTCCCCCCCGTTCCTTCTTTTCCGTTGCATCATCCGTATCCTCATCCTCTTCCTGCTCCTCCTGCTCCTCCCCCCCTCCTCCTCCTCTTCCTCCTCCTCCCCCTCAGTCTCAAACTCTTTATTGGAATCCTCACCCTCCTCCTCATCCTCCTCCTCCGTCACATGCCCCCCCGCCAGCAGTCATCAATCAGGCACATGTTGATGCCTACCAAAGTGGGCATAGTCTATATTGGCGCAGTGTCCGAGCCAGTGCTTGCAATTCTACTACAAAACGTCGTTGGTACTATGTTCGGCGCAGTGCTTGCAGCGTTTCCCCATGCAGTGCTTGCAACCTCTCCTCAAACAGTGTTTGCTACGTCTCGGCATGGGGTTCGGTATGGGCAGTGGACAACGACCATGCTCAGATGATACGTTCAATGTTGATGTGGTGATGTGACGATGTGATGGTATTGCCGTTTTGGCTCAAACCGAGGAGATCCTGCTTCCAGCTTGCAGTGCTTGAGGCCCCCTGCCCTGTGTTGAGGCTTCACTTTCTGTGTCGCACCCAGCATGGACCAACACATCGAGGATGTGCCGATGCCGTTGGCGATCGGGGGTTTGGTTGCAGGCGGCCCTCCAGATGCAGACGGCGATGATCACATTGCCGTGCCGCCGCCTCTGGCGCTTCCAGCGCCAGCGCCCCCTGCCCGCCTCGATCTCAAGAGAAGGACGCCCGAGCTCATGAGCCACGCTCGT